TCCTGCTCCTCCTGCTCCTCCTGCTCCTCCTGCTCCTCCTGCTCCTCCTGCTCCTCCTGCTCCTCCTGCTCCTCCTGCTCCTCCTGCTCCTCCTGCTACTCCTGCTACTCCTGCTACTCCTGCTACTCCTGCTACTCCTGCTACTCCTGCTACTCCTCCCCGTCCTACTACTACTACGCTCGAGTAGCAATCTTGTTCAACCTCCCGCTTCAATTTGGACATCAATCACCAACTGCACCATCTATATTAGGTTGAGTCCGCTCTCGCAAAGGACAAAGCTTGGTTGAAGGGGGATTTCATTTCTATGATCCAGACCCGTGGTGCGGCCATTATCACCGCGCGTAAAGCGTCTAGCGCACTTTCAGCAGCAAGGGGGATCTCGAACCACATGCACGATTGGATCTGCGGAACGGACGTGGCTGGAGAGTTCGTCTCCATGGCTGTATTCACCGACGGATCGGATGGGTAACTATTTTTTGGTGGTTTTGTGAAAACGAACATTAAACTTATTTCTGTTCCCAGATACCGTAGTTGTGGTTCTACTGTTGTGCTAGAGCTAGAAGTTCCCTCCAGCACACTTACTTTCTTACGTACTTCTGCAACTGAATATTATAGTAATAGCATTCAACTCCCTCATCAAACCTACGACCACCAAACACAGATACGGCGTCGACAAGGGTCTGATCTATTCCTTTCCGGTGATGTGCAAAGGAAAGGGCGAGTACGAGATTGTCAAGGGATTGCCATTTGATGATTTCTCAAGGCTGAATATGAAGGCAACGGAACAGGAGCTCATCGAAGAACGCACTTTGGCGTTCTCGCTCGTCGGTTAAGATACGTTTAGTACGGTCTGCTGCTAGTCTGCTGCTTCCCTCCTGATAATGGGTGGTGTGGGAGCTTGTTATACTTACCTCGTTCGCCTAAAGATGAATTTATAGTTCTAGTTTTAGTGTAGTTATAGATGGAGATGAAGACGATCTACTGCTGTTGCACTAGATCAGGAGTTCCATTCCAAGTTTTCTACAGGTTGATGAAGAAGTCAGATGTTATTCTTCATGTTCTTTGGATTTTTAACATCAAGGTCAAGCCATAGGTTCTAGTGTAAAAAATTCAAAAAAAACGCAAAGGTGTAGTACGAAATAATAGACTACGGACTGCTATACCAATTTAAGATTTCTGGGTGATCTGGTGCGTGCTCCCGAATACTTAGTTGTAGAGGTAGCACTATAACTAAATGTCATGATCATGTACAACTCATACTAGGAGAAGTGGGAATCTCCGATGCATGTGACTGCAACGCGGCCACATTTATTTCTAGACCTCTGCCAACCCTTTCAAGAAAACAAGACATTCTTCATTTCTTCGCTCCTAGCTTCCTTCCC